CGCACGTCGTCCGGCTCCGGGTTCTGTCGTGTGCGTCGAGCGTGCGGGCGGAGAGGCGAGGCTGAGCCTGTGGCGAGAGCTAAGATAGAGCAGTGCGAGAGTTACACACGACACACACGACACGACAGGGACACAGACACAGACACAGACACACACTGCGCTCCCCTCAGCGGGTAGGGAGAGACGCGAACCCGACGGAGTCCGGTGGGGGGGGCCCACGCAGCCAGCCCCTGCGTTGCAAAGGTTGGTGCTGAGCCGCCGCCGCCGCTCGCTCTCGAAAAGCGTCGCGCTGCTGCCCGTTCCCGGAGCGACGAGCGCGAGTTTGGTGGCCAGGGCCTTGGATGGCTTTGCAGCCTCACCCGCGATCAACAGTACAGCAGAGCCGCGCACATGGCTCACCACTCACACTTGCTGGGCACCAACCTTTGGGTCCAGATGACTACCCCTCTATAAACGAGGGGAGAGGGACGCCTCACGAGCCTACGGAGGGCCTCGACCCGTCTTCTTGCCGGTCAGACCACTCTAATCCCTTCCACATGTCTGCGCCCCCGCGTGCCGATGGGCGGCGCACGCAACCGAGAGAGGCCCTGTCGCGCCGCCAGTAGCGTTCTCCGCACTCCCCACGCCACCAAATGCCGCCTCAGGGCGCCAGCCACCTCTTACACGCGGCCGGCGCCCTCTCGGTTACTCGGACGCGGCAAAAGGGTCGAGCGAGCGGGCAGAGTCGCGATGTCCCTGCGCACCTGGGTGTTCGCCGCCTATATGCTCTATTCTGTGCCAAGACGGACACGCTTTGACAATCAAAAATCTACCTCAAAATTTGCGGCCGCCCCTCGAAATTTGCTGATCAAAATTTGCGGTGGCCCGGATCGAAACCTGTACTTTAGCCAAACTGCTCTATCTGCGCTCGCTCGTGCTCGCTGTGTGCTCTTGGAGCAGTCTTGGAGGAGCTCGTGGGGGGGGGGTCACCGCACTCTATTGAATAGGAGAGGGGGGAACGCGGGATTTCGTCGTCTACGAGTGCCCGTTACACGATTCTGGTGTGAACAGGCACCGCCTCCGAGCGTCGCGTTCGTAGGGGCTCCGCCGCGACAGCCGATGGCGAGTGGCGGGCACCGTTGTCGGTGCGCGGCTCATGCATGCTGTAGAGAGAGATTGCAGGGCCTTTTCAACCTTTCGCCTTTCTTTTTGTGTTGAGGCTTGTATCTTAAGAATTCTTTTTACCCGCACGGGCTGGCGCCGGCCGCGGAGCTGCTTCCCCTGGCCCAGTTCTCGTCCACCAACGAGTTCTTGCACCAGGCGCAGCGACGGTACACCTCTGGCGTGCACCATGCTAACTGGCTCGACCTTGCCGAGGAGCTTACCGACGAGGCGCTTCGCAGCGGCGGCCGCAAGGCGCCCTCCAAAGGCAACAAGGTCGGAAGACGCCAGAACCACAAATGCTGGCGAGAGGCGATCCGTTTTGTCGCCGTCAGCCAACCAGGGGCCGGCGCCTTCCTCAACGCCATCCCCATGCGTGATGACATGAAGATGGAGTCCTGGGCGATGCGCGTCACCGTCCAGCGCCGCCTTGGGCTCCCCCTTGATGTCGCCTGCCAGGCGGTGGAGGCAGGCAAGAGGGCACCCAGCGGCCAGCTACACGACGTCCTTGGCGACGCCGCGATGGTTAACCCTCGGTCAAAGCATGCTACAAGACACAAATTTCTACTCAAACGTTTGGTCAAATGCCTCCGCTCGGCGTGGGGCATGATCATCGAGATGGAGCCGACCGCACACCTCAGTTACAGTAATCCAAAACAACCTGACGTGGCGGCGGCAAACATCGGCAGGGGGCACAGGCGCCTCGTTGCCGATTTGAAGCTCACGAGCTCGCTTGCGAGCACGGGCAAGGACACGGCCGGCGACGGAGAGCTCGGCTGGAAGGGGGCCTACGTGCGCTTTGGCAACACGGAGACCGGGCTGCTCAAGTTGGTCAAAGGGCGCGGCAAGTGGTCTCCGTCGGAAGCGACGGCAGCGGCGGTGGCGGGGGAGGAGGAGGAGGCCGAGGAGGAGGGGGAGGAGGGGGAGGAGGAGGATGCCCCCAAGAGAAAGCTCACGGAGCAGCCTGGCGATTACCCCTTTGCGCGGCAGCAGGATTGCGATCTACGTTTGTTTGATTTTGAGGCTTTCGGAGGCTTTGGCAAGGAGGTTCGCAGCACCCTGAGGGAGGCGGCGAACCAGCTGAGCAATAAACTTTCGCACGCTCAGCACCTGGACGAGGTCACATGGACCACCAAGAACTGGCACGGGCTGCAGATGCAGCGCTTGTCTGTCGTCCTCCACACCGCCGTGGCGTGGCAGACGGTGAACGAGCTAGCGTGCGGGGAGAGCGGCATTGTGCATGGTGCGGAGTGCATTGCCGTTCTTAACGGAGTCGCTTAGGCGGCTCCGGTGGTGAGCCTGTGTGTGTGCCAGTCCGCGCCAGTCTGCGCCCTTGTCGTGCCAGTGTGCTGTGAGAGAGGCTCGTATTTTAAGAATTCTTTTTGTGCCAGTCTGCGCCCTTGTCGTGCCAGTGTGCTGTGAGAGAGGCTTGTATCTTAAGAATTCTTTTTGTGACCTAGGACGAAGACACGTTGTTTGCGAGGAAATCCGACGTCCTGACAAAGGCGGCGAGGAACGACCCGACCTCCTCACACTCAGCCTGCGGAGGCGGTAGCGCTGCAGCCTCAGCGGCCTCATGCAGCACAACGAACGAAAGACATCGCCCGCGGCCCTCGAGAGAGCTGATGAAGCCGCCGTGGCACAGGCGGCAAACGTAGCGAAGTATATCTCTGCAACCAGCGGACTCTACCCACCGCTCGAGCTCCGGCGCGGCGTGAGCGTTGCCAGCACGCTCACATCCTTCGACTCGCTGTCCAGCTGCCGCTCGACCAATATCTTTGCCACGCTGCCGGACAAGCTAGCACTTCAAGATCGCGAGCGCCTCTTCCATCGGTCGCGGCCTGTCTGCGCCATAGACTGCTTCGTTTCGCACGCTTGGCGGTCAGAGGGAAGCCGCAAGTGGATGGCCCTCGCTCTCCACGAGGCCGGCCTCGTTCCGCTGGCCGTCGCCCTGCTCGCGTGCCTTGCGATGGGCTTGATTCAACGTTGGGTCGAGCTGCCTGGCAACGTCCGCCTGGTGGCTGAGAACCGCATCGCTTTCTACGTGTCGCCATATGAGTACACCGCTGGGCTGCTCGCCGCCGTCGCCTCGATCTTCCTCCTCCTCGCCATGCAGCGCACACGCACTTACTTTGTTGACGCGGCGTGCATCCACCAGACGAACCGAGCTCTGAAGACTCAAGGCATCAGGCACTTGGCAGGTTACGTGGCAATGTCGTCGAAGCTGCTGGTCCTCTGGGATGAGAACTACTTCAATCGGCTCTGGTGCGTGTACGAATTAGCCATGTTTCAAGCCATTCATCCAAACAGGCCAGTGTTCTTCTTGCCTCTTCAAATCGCCCTCAGAACCTGCGTGGCAATAGCAGGAACTGCTGTGGCGTTTGGGTTCACAGTGCTGTGCGAGATGCTGTTCGCCGGAAGGATCGAATCGCCGCACGGAGAGCGAGTCGTTCTGGCTGATGGCTGGTTGTGGACCCCCCACCACGCGGTCCAGCTCTCTCTTCTCTTCGTCTTTCTCGTCATGTTTTTCCTTACCGCGACAGTGTTCGGTGCCGACATGGCCCTTCAGCGGCTCGCGCTGCAAAAGCACCTCGACTCGTTTGATGTGAGGGGGGCAGACTGCTATAGTGCCGCCGATAGGGACGAAATCTACGCTGCGATTGGATCCATATACGCGCGACGTGGCGTCGATGGCCTCTGCGCGTTCAACCAACTAGTTAAGACGACCCTGAAGGAGCAGGTGATGCAACGACTCGATCACGGGGCCGCGTGGTCGTACTCGACGTTGCTGCAGCTACTGATCCCGGTCTTTTGCTATGTTTTTGGCACGGTGTACTCCGGAACGATGCGAGCGACCTCACCGTTCAATCAAGTCCTCCTAACCGTCTTGTTGCCTCCCTTGATGTTTGCAGCATGTCCTTACTTTACTGCCGTGAGCCTCGACCGAGGCGCACGCCTTGCACGTTCGAGCAATCAAACAGACCTCTCCGCGTTCGCATCTCGGGCTCGCTTGGCGATCGCTTGCGCTGCCGTGCGCGGTGCATTCGAATCCTTGGTCTTTGCCCTCACTCCTTTCGTGTGCTTCATCTTTGCAGTCGAATTTCCCGCGGCGGTTGGCCTTGCTCGAGTGCCGCAGCGAGTGCAGCATGCGTTCGTGCTGATGCTCGCATGTCCATGGAGCATCGCGTTCATCTACACGGCGCGTCGCAAACTTGGGCCGCAAGCAACGTCCGAAGGCCGGCAAGCATGGGGCCGGCGCTCGTGCGTCTGGGCCTTGCGATGCGTCACTGCCGTCGCCCTCGTTGCCCTCCTTTCCATCGCTGCGCTTTGCATTGCCGCAGCTGCCAACCGAAGCTCCGCCGCGCCGTTCTCACATGTTGACCCGACGACAACGTTTCCGCCTCCTCAGTATGTTCGGGCCCTTTCACCGTCGCAATTGTACACCGACTTTTCGGGAAGGTGGTCGCTGACTTCCACCGAGGGCGATATGGACGCAATGCTTCACCACCTGGGCTCGAGCTTGGGCTTGGGCGGTGTCGCCACTTGGTCGCTCCAAACCACCGCGGCCGCGTTCAACTACTTGGTGGGACTCGCGGAGGTTGCTGTCACAAATCAGGCACGCGATCACGCTGATTTTGAGGCGAATGCGGCCAGCTTGCTTCACACGTCGAGGCAGCTCTACATTGACGGGCGGCTCCACACCAGTGTTGGCTCCAACCCGTTGGGCAGATTCAGCTACTGGGCAGAGTGGGCCAACACCACCCTCGTGATGCACGTTGTGGCGCCGATGAACTTCAGTTTAACCACCCTTCTCCTGCCGGACGGGCGGATGAGGTTCGAGACGACGAGAGGCGACCTCGCCTTCCTTTTCACGCGCATTGGCGGTGTAGCACCCTCGATGCCACGCCCTCCACAGCCCCCGCCCCCGCCGCCCCGGACGCCGTCCACGTGGGTTGGAGCCGCATTTGCCGAGGCGGCCGCCGCTGCAGCGTCGGCGGCGGCGGCGGCGTCGTCTGCGCTCGGGGTCATCCCGGTCCCTGACCGTATGGCGGACGAGTCGCGGAGATAGCAGATAGCGCCTCGTGCATGGCACATTCGATTGTGTCCCCAGAGAGACAAGTCCAGGTAAGGTAAGTGTAGCAAGGTAAGGGTTTTACCGATAGTCGGGTTGCTTCCTTGAGTGGTCGGTGCTCTCATATTGAGGGTTTTCGCCGTACGCGGGGAGGCCGGATCCCCATAAGACCCCCCCCCAAACACAGAAAACACACGGCGGCGCAGGGGTGGACGGTGGGATGCGCGCTGAGATGAGTGCCGTGAGGCGCGGGGATGACGGTAAAGTGCCAAGACGGCGCCCGTTTTGGCGTAGTTTGTTGAATTCCGCTTACCCAGCGTAATTCGTCGATTTCCGCACCTTTTCGGCAGCGCTCGCACGCCCTCGCGTCAAAACACCATCATGTCGCCCTTTCGGGTGACAGCAACGAGCAGTTTTACCGATAGTCGGGTTGCTTCCTTGAGTGGTCGGTGCTCTCATATTGAGGGTTTTCGCCGTACGTGGCCAAGGCAGCCGGCATCGCCCTCGCCCCAGGTAAGGAAGGCGCCGCCGGCGGTGAGGACCTGTCGAACCAGCTGCTGCCCAAGAAGATCGAGTCGTGGGCTCCGGGGCAGTGAGAGGGTTTGCCCGCGTGTGAGCTCAGTCGATCTTCTATAGTGTGTTGAGCAGCGAAAAAAGGCGATTTCTGCGCGGGCACACACACACAAGAGACAAAAAACTCGGTACTCGCGCGCGCGGAAAATCCATGGACTTCGAGACGATAGATAGAACCTACATAGATAGAAGGAAGGTGAACAACAGCAAAGCTCGGACGAGTCACAAAAAAGAAAAAATCTAGCCAGCCTCTCTCACATTGCACGCAGAGACCTGTGTGGTGGCGGCGTGCCGTCCTCCCATCCCTCCTTCCTTGCGTGTTTTCTTTCTGCACGCAGAGAGTTCCATGAAAGCTTTGCTCGTATTGATCAGCACCGCCTGCGCCGCGTCGGCGCTGCAGCTGCAGGCACGACCGCCGGCGCCCCGAACCCGGCTGCGCGTGCTGGCCGCGCCGCGGCTTGCTGAGTCCGCCGAGCCCGAGTCCACGCCGGCGACACCCGAGCCGCTCACAATCTCGGATGAGCAGATCGCTGCAGCGGCGCGGGCAGCGTCGGAGCCCGGCGCGGACCCATTTGCGGGCTTCGAGTGCGCTCCGCGGGGAGTATAGTGAGGGGTGGCGCTAGCGGCCGGCGCACAACTGCGGGTGGCTCGCACTTCGGTCTTCGCTCCCGACCGGCGCTCTCACTGCTCTCCGGTTGCCCGGGCGCAGGACGGCGGAGCCGCCTCGCGAGGAGGAGCCCTTCGACCCGCGCATAATTATATACGTCTCGCTGCCCGCGCTCGTGCTGGTGCGGGTCTCACCGCGCCCCCATGCCGCTGTCTGTCCGACTAGCCAGCCGTGCGCTCTCGCGCAAACTTTCGCGGGAGCTCCGCCTGGCTCCGCAGCAGCACCGATCCGTTTCCCACCCACACCAGCAGCTGTGGGTGAGGCTGGGTCCATGCCAGACACAACTCCCTCGCCCGCCGGCCGCGCATCCCCGTCCCCCTCCACCCGCTCAAGACGGATCCCGTTCCTCTCTCTCTCAGGGCGCGCAGCTCTTCACATCTGCAGCCGTGAACAGGCAACCTAACTTGTCCGATTTCTCTCTAGGGCGCGCAGCTCTTCTTCACCTTCTCGCGCGACATGCTCGCGGGGGACCAAGTCGGTCCGGCGGTGATGGACGCGATGTGAGGCACCGCGAGCCACCCCGCTCTGGCGTCTGTGTCTTCCGCAGTCCCTTGGCGGGGAGTAGCACTTGCGATTTGGCGGGGATCGGGAGGGACGGAGAGTGTGTGTGTGACGGGCCCCTCCCCCGGCCGTCTCTCGTGCAGCTAGCTCCTGTCTCTCTGTGTGGGGGGGGGCGGCGTCCATGATTGCGTGTGGGGAAAACGCTGCTTAGTCGTGGCACATGAGACATGTAGTGGATTTTGAGACACGCGTAAGCTCGCGCGCGCACACGATCGGCCGAGACCCGAGTCTCGCGGCGCGCGCAAATCGCAATAAAGAGGCCCACACCGAGAAACCGGCGAAACCGCCGCCGCGCGCCCGTGACTGCCGTGCCCCACTCGCTCCCGGCTCGCCGCTCGGCATTGGCCGCGCGCCGCAAACGCCACAAGCCAGCGACGCCCCTGCATGTTGACCCCACCGAGAGAGCCGGTCCGTGGACTCAAGTGTCCGTGGACTCAGTGCAGCATTCTCCGCCCGCCTCCGCCTCTACTCTTCTTGCCGCCAGCCTTGCCGCCCGCCCCCACGGGCGGCGTCTCCGTGAGCTGGCTCTCCTTGTGCTGCTTGGCGTGATGGGCGAGCCGCTTACTCTCTCCGACCGGCCTGCTAGGAGTATGTGCGTTCCTCTTCTCCCGCTGGATGATGCGCTCTCGCAGCCTGGTCGCATTCCTCTTCTCCTGCGCGTTCTTCTCCCACTTGCCCGCCGCCGCCGCGTCCGCCGCCTGCTCCGCCTCCGCCGCGCCAGGGTCCACCTTGGCTGGGGCGTCCACCTGCGAGCCGAGCGGGTCCCACTTCGCCATCTTGCGGAGCGTGGCGACCTAAGGCAAGGTAAGGTAAGGTAGACTTCTCCACACACACGAGGTGGTGGGGCAAGGGGGGGCGACCCTCGCGTCTCCACGTCTAGACGACAGGAGCCCCACGGCATTGACAGTGCAAGGCCCAGTGCGCGTGGGTGAGCGGTGTGTGTGTGTGTGTGTGTGTGTGTGTGTGTGTGTGTGTGTGTGTGTGTGTGTGTGTGTGTGTGTGTGTGTGTGTGTGTGTGTGTGTGTGTGTGTGTGTGTGTGTGTGTGTGTGTGTGTGTGTGTGTGTGTGTGTGTGTGTGTGTGTGTGTGTGTGTGTGTGTGTGTGTGTGTGTGTGTGGCGACCTTCGCCGCAAAGCCCCGCGCCGCCGTCAGGTGCGTGATCGCATTGCCGGCCGAGTACGGCAGGTGCGCGAACAAACTGCGCGGCGCGAGGGCGACGGCGTCGCCGCCACGGATCGGGAGGCGGACGTAGCTCGCGCGCGAGGAAGGGCCGACGGCGCCGGCCCACGGGCAGACGACAGAGCTTCGCTTCTGCAGCTTCCACATGGCGCGGATCTGCTCCTTGTGCGCCTGCGCCTCGGGCTGCGGGGTGTGAAGAGACGCTGCTCACAGCGAGAGGCGTGCAGACAGCTGCTCCTTGTGCGCCTGCGCCTCGGGCTGCGACGCCCAGTCCGGGCCGGCCGGGTTGTACTTGTTCCTGCCCTCGTACCGTGCCGTGGACCCAAGGAAAGTACCTAGCCGAGGTACAGCCGAGGTACAGCCGAGGTACGGCCGAGGTGCGGCCGAGGTACGGCCGAGTTGCGGCCGAGGTGCAGCCGAGGTACAGCCTAGGTACAGCCGAGGTACAGCCGAGGTACAGCCGAGGTACAGCCGAGGTACAGCCGAGATGCGGCCGAGGTGCGGCCGAAGTGCAGTCGAGATGCAGCCGAGATCTGTGGCGCTGTCTCACGGTTCCGCAGGACGGCCGAGACGATCGCGTCGTTGAGCAGGGACTGGTCGTCCGAGTTTGCGTAGTACGGCGGCCTTGCGAACGGCACGATCCGCGCCACAATCTCCGGGTGGTTCTGCAGCAGCTGCACTCTCCACGCGACCTCGTCGAGCAGACGCAGCGCAGACATCGAGCCGGGCCTACGTGCTGAGTACGCCAACCTCAGGGCGGGAAGACGGTGTTGTGCAGAATCTTCAGAGCACCGCGTGAGTACGAGGGAGGAAGATGCAGTGAATAAAGCTGAGTACGGCTGAATGCGGCTGAATGCGGCTGAATGCGGCTGAAGACGTGTCCTCTCGAGCGTTGGTTGGAAGACAAGAGCACGTCTTCTGCTTCTAGCGAGCCGGGCCTCGCGTAGACGACGCCGGCGTTGGCGATACCCACGTCGCGCATGATCACCAGCGACGCGTCGCGCATCAGCCGCAGCATGCGGAACGGGTCGTGCCTGGTCACAGCCAGGCGCGTCTGAAGAGACGCCGCTGCCGCACCAGGCCGCAGCGACGCGGAGCGGGGCGGCTCGCATCCAGACGGTGTCAGTGTCGGCCTGGAGCACGGCGTAGCCGCCCTCGACGAGCAGCGCCATGTACTTCTTCTTGATGTAGTAGAAGCGGAAGCGGAAGTCCCAGAACTTGCGCAGCGTGATCGAGTCCGCCGGCTGCCGCCGAAGCATGCGAGAGCTCCAAAAGCACGGCCCGTAGAGCACAGCGCGCAGAACCTCGCAGGTCTGCCACCCGTCGGCGAGGAGCATCACGTGCCTGCGCAGGCCGAGGGTGGCGAGCGTGACGAGGCTGTTGTTGGTGACGGAGAGCGAGTTGGCGTCCGAGCCCGTCGCCATGAAGATGAGCTCCTTGTCGCCGTTGGCCGCCCGGCGCGCAAGCGACGCCGCAGCGGCCAGCAGCGCTCCCGGCGCCTCGAGGTCGCCGAGCGGCCAGCCCGTGAAGGGCTGGCCCTGGTTGTGGTGGTGCCGGGCTGAGGCGCCACCCGGGCCGGGGCCGGAGCTGCTGCTTGGAGGCACTGGGTCGGCTGCCAGAGCGACCAGCGCCGTCAATAGCGACATGAGCAGCGGTTAGCGGCGGCTGTTTAAGACGGAACGAAGTGGAGCCCGCAGACGACACCGACCCAGACGGCACCGGCAGGCACCGAGACTCGTCAGACTCGTAGGACTC